TTTGATCCTTGTAAGTAATTCATCACCCTTATTGCTGTAAGAAATCTCAATAAAAACTCATCAGTTCACCAAATTGAACTTTGGTTCAAATGCCACTTTGGTCTGTTATGGGTTCTTATATAAGCAGGTGTGTGTGTGTGTGTGTGTGTATGTGTGTGTGTGTGTGTGTTGCATCTCCCAAGGGAAAAATCTGTCTCCCAATAGTGTCTATCTGTCTCTGAGTATATGCTTGCCATACTGCATGTGTGCATGTGTCAGAGGACAATTTGTGGGAGTTTTTCTCTCCTTCTACTACAATGAATGGTCTTAGGGATCAAACTCAGGTTAGGCTTGGCAGCAGGCACCTTTACCAGCTGAGACATCTGGCTAGCTTGCTATACTGCCCTCTTAAAGACTCTTTTCAGTTTCCATTATATGTGTTTTCATACACACAAGTAAGACACAACCTGGCTTTGCTCAGCTGCAGGTGTGCTCATGGAAGTAGCCAGAGGGCTTTGGCATACCCAACTTCCTAGTCCTGTGTGTACAGCTTCCAAAAAAGAAGTGAGCATCCCATACCCTGAATTAGATATTTTTGTCACAGCCTATGCCAAATCCCGTATAGTTTGTCACCATATGATGCCAATTCCTAATTTTTAACTCCTCCCAGCAAGAACTATATCCATGTGCCTATCACTCTGTACTAGAATCCCACTCCAAGAGTCTGTTTCCTGGGAGCACTTCTGCTACCAATTACTGTGTTAGTCGGAATCCCAGCAGGGAACAGATGGCATGCTCAAAAAAAAAAAAAAACAATTAATGGGGACACTCAGTCCTAGCAACCACAAGTAATATGCTGATAAGACACTTAGAAAATTCAGCATATCTAAGGATCTGTCAGAGAAGTGAGGGTATGGAGCAAATGCCCCCAGCAGACAAACTACAAAGACAGACAGGAGAAAACAAAAAAATTGTAACTCAGCAAAGCAGAAACCACAGGAGAACCTGGCACCTAATTGATGAAGTGCAAAGGACTCAGGCTCCCAAGAGGACCTGCTATGAAGCTCCATGCTTTGTGAGACTCACCCTCAAGCACTCTACCAAGTTCTCCCAGGGAAGATCTGTGAAACACCTCCCCAAGCATCCACAGGAAGGAAGGAAGGAGCCTGTTGTGAACCTTGTCTCCTGTCCTGCTTTTCTTAAGGCCTGCCCCCAAGAGAGAATAGTTTACCAGCACTGACCCAACCAGGGCCTTTCCACTCCAACTGACTTGTGTGCAAACCCTGCTTTGTCTAGTTTCCCACAGGAGAAGGGAGATGTGTCAATGCCACACAACTTAAAGTTGTGTGGGAACCTAAGAAGCTCTGATGTGGTTGACAGGACAGGCTTCTTGGTAATGGGTCCTTCCTATGCATGATGTCAGCTTTTCCAATAAAGATTACAGGGCACACTAGAGAGCAGAAAATACTACCTGGAGAGAGAGGGGTGGGGAGAGAGGGAGGGAGAGAGGGAGGGAGGGAGGGAGGGAGGGAGGGAGGGAGGGAGGGAGGGAGGGAGGGAGGGAGGGAGGGAGGGAGGGAGCATAGCCAGACCCAGATTCAGTAGGAATGTCAAAAAATTCAGAATGAGAATTCAAAACAACTATGGCTAATACCAGGTTGTAACAGGATTAGAAAACATGAAAGGGGTGGGAAAGGTAGGCCGAAGAGTGACCACAAGAAAATGACAGGGAGAAAAATTATCATGGAAATGAAGATTGCCCTTTTGTATTAACTAGGGTTTCTATTGCTGTGGTGAAACACCATGACCAAAGCGCAAGTTGGGGAGGAAGGGTTTGTTTGACTTACACTTCAGCATTGCTGTTGGTCACTGAAGGAAGTTAAGACTGGAACTCAAGCAGGGCAGGATCCTGGAGGTAGGAGCTGACGCAGAGGTCATGGAGGGGAGCCACTTACTGACTTGCTCCTCATGGGGGCTCAGTCTGCTTTCTTATAGAATGCAGGACCAACAGCCCAGGGATGCCTCACAGCTGGATCTCATGCAGGCATTTCTTCAACCGAGGCTCCTTCCTCTGGTGACTCTAGCTTGTACCAAGCTGACACACAAAATCAGCCAGTACACCTTGTGAGCTCATGTTATTAGACATAGCAGGAAAAGAAACTCCGATCTCTAGGATAGATTGGTAGAAACCTCAAAAGTGGAAAAGCAGAGCTGAGAGGCCTGACTGGAGCAGAGGAGATGTGGTGGTAACTGAGAAGGTGTGAATACCTCTGATGGGAATACTGGGAGAAGAATAAAGAGAGAAAGGAGCAGAAAAAAACATCTGAAGCACAGGGCTAAGAATTCTTCCAAATTACTGTCAGACATCAAACCATAGATACAGGAAGCTCAGGAAACATTAGGCAGGATAAACACAAAACCAAACTAAAGAGATATTTCCTGAAAGTCTTGAAAAAGGAGGGAAATCTTTCACACAGAGAGCAAAGATGATAATTAACACAACTTTGTTTCAGAAATGGTACAAGCAAGAAGATAGTGATGTGGAATGAAATCCCATGCTGGGATTGACTCTGTGTCCTTAAAACCCCCACAAAGCAGCAGGAACACACAAAGAAGTTCTCCATTCTCTTTTTAACTTAGTTTAGTTTTGAAGTGCTGGGACTTGAACCCTGATTTGCACACCTGGGAGACAAACACTACCAACTGACCTTTTTTCCCAGTCCAACAGACGCAAGTTCAGACAGGGGAGTCAGGAACTCAGACCCATCCAAAGGAAGAACACCAGAGAAGAAACTAGTGAAGGCTAAATAAAAACTTCGGTTTTCCTTATTTTTGGTTGCTATTTGTTTTGGGTAAGAATTGTCTGTCCTGGTGATACACACTGGTAATCCTAGCACTTGGGAAACTGAGGCAGATGGATTGTGAGTTTATGGTCAGCCTAGTCAGAAAGGAAGTTAGGAAAGGAAAAAGAAAAAGACAAGCCCAGGTAAAATAAAAAACAAGACCCATAAGTTTATTCAAATATACTCATAACGATGTCTTTGAGGATCTCAGCCTATATGTAGTTTTGATGAATGGAGCAGCCATACGGGAGGAGAATAAGAATTATCTTTTTTATTGTGTTCACACCACCCGTGAAGCTGTGCTGTGTTAGCTGTAAATATTTGTCTGTCATGAACTGAAGGGCAACTACTAATAGTTTTTTCCAAGTATAATTAATATGCATTTTAGTTCTCATTGTTGTAACAAATACATAACAGAAACAGTTTAAGGGCAGAAAAAAAACAGCTATTTTGGCTTAAAGTTTAAGGAGATAAGGTCCATCATGGTGAGAAATAGTGGAAGACCCAGTATCCTCCAAACTGCTCTATAAAATTCAATTTCTCAAGAGGCTTATATTTATTAGAAATATATACATATATACATAACCTCAAAAGATATATATTTTTCACACACATATGTACACATGCATTAAATGAAATAATTTTAATTAAAAAACATGACAGCAATTTCTAATACAGTTGGTTCAATAAATACTGTTGAATTCAGTATTTGTATCATATTTTCAAAGGATGACCAGGAAGTCACCTCTACAGTGATTCATTTGGGAAGGCTTGAATAGGAGGTGAAGTGTTGGGAAACAATGGGTATGTTGAAAGTGGAGCCACTTAATAAGCCAAGCATGACAGAAAGTTGCCCAGTAGACTAAAACAACCTGACAGAGCACTGAGTAGCAGTACATGAGAAGGTGGAGTTAATGGAGAGGAAGAACAGGCTAGGTGAGACAGAAAAGGAGTTTCTCACCTAGGGAAGGACATTGGGAGCCATCACAGGCACAGCAGTATGTTTATCACAGATTCTCAGGGGTGGAGAGACATAAGCAAAAAGGAAGCCACATGAGCAGCAAAGTGTCTGCTCACATAGGTGAGTGGGTGAGATGTCTTTCTGTCTAGTAAAATGTTACCCCATCCAGGTGAGCAGAGATGTGATTGCCCTTTACAGGTTTTTGGAAACCAATATTTTTAATGTCTTACAAAGAAACAGATGTATCAAGTCAAAGTAACATGGCAAGGCAAATTTTACTCTTGCAAACCAGGTGAATAAGTACACTGTGGCAGAAGCTGGCTTAGTTCTGATCCTAACTCAAGTAGTGACTGTCTCACCCCATTGGTGGACGCTCAGCCTCACAATCTGACACTATTAGCTAATTCACAATCAGCATGAAGAGGAGGGGTGTGATAGAGTCAAGTTTCAGGAATGTCTAGTACCCTGAACAAACAGGAATGTACACAAGAGTTTCACAAGATGGGGAGGTTTATAGAATATGGGCTAGCCATTGTTGACTTAAAAAAAAAAAACCTTTCTCACAAAGTGAACAGGAAAGAGGCCATCACCTCATCATTACCTACTAAATGTCAAAATGGAGGATGTCTCCTCGTCCTGATTAGCAGGGATGACACTGTCTCATCCTGGTCATCAAAGATATTGTATTGGGCAGGAAAACTACAAAAGGGGGAGGGGTATGGTGGAGGCCAGGAATTCAGTCAAATGCGTTTATGTCCTAGTGTCGACTCTGTAAGGAATTGCGACTTGAATTGAACATCAGTAGCTTCTGCGAATTGCCTACAGTCTCTTAGACATCTGATGCCAGTGCTCAGAGCCTCAGACTCAAGGAGATGATGATCTCTATATTGCCTACAGAAGTCTATTCTGTCTCTATTTTTGTTGTTGTTGTTGTTTCTATCCCAGGCTCCCAATGGCACAGGCGCCTTCAGGTTCATGGGACAGTATAGCATTCAGAGAGCCCTGATATGTTTCCTGCATGTTTTTAGGTTGCATTACTTTTTTGTTGCTGTATTTATACACAGATTCTCACTACATAGCTCAGGATGACCTTGTGTGTAAGATCCTTAGCCTTCTTGGTGCTGGGATTACAGGCCCGTGACCCCTTGCCTAGATCAGTGGACTTCTTGAGTGTTGAAGATGTTACATGACAGTTTTGAATACTTACTGTCTTCCAGGTGTTGCTCTAAGTCATGCCTGCCATCCCAGTGAATGGGCAACACAACCTAGTGGAGTGTGTTTTGGGGTCATCTGCATCAAGCTGAGGGTACCAGATGGAAGATGAAATGTTTACAATGTCTAAATCCAATAAATAATTCATATTCTTACAACTTATAACTACTAAATATCAAAAGGAATAAAGAAACTATAGTTAAATGAATCTGTGTTGTAAATTGATAGCATAAAAGTGAATCCCAAATGCTTCCCAGATACATCAAGGGGGCTCCCAAACTTACCAAAAGAAGAGAAACTAAACAACACTGAGATTCTACTTATGTTTATCAGAATAACGATTACAAAGGGAGGATGGCAAGAGCAGTGGGTGCTGTGGAAGAGGGGAAATTCTGGGTGGGGGACAGACGGTGTAGGAGCTCTGAAACATGATGTAGGCTTGCTTAAGGAAGTCAAAGACACCCTTAATGAGCTCCTTTGGAGTCTGTTCAGTAAACACTCTCACAGGGACTCACAAGGGAACGCACTTCAGACTGTCTGTTGCACAGTTGTTTGTGTAGCAGGAGTTGGTAGCTTAATTATCCCTCTTTAGAGGAATGAATAAGCACACTGTGATGGGTATTCACTATGGAACACCGTGCAGCAGGGAGAAGCAACAAAGCAGATGTTTACAGAACAACTTGCATACTTTTATTTTTAATCCAGAAAAATAGGTTAGACAGCAGTTTTCAGGGCATTGGGCATCAGGGGAGGAAAGCCAGCTCTCCCTGTGAGACAAGCAGCAAGTAACAAGAGCTCTCTTTGTACTGTATATTGCCTGGAGAGTTTCCAGGCTACAGTACAAAGAAGGGAAACTGAGGCAAAGATTCAGAGTCCCTAAGTTGAGAAGACCAGAAAAGCTTGAATTTTTTTTGGGGGGGGAGACTCAGGGAGGAGAGATCTACACAGAGAACAACAACGGAGATTTATAGAGACTTTCTAATGCAGCTGTCCCAGGAAAGAAATGGAGTTAACACCCTGAGCCCACAAGGGGCAGGAAAAGCTTATCCACTGCCAGTCAGAATTAGAGACCACATAGCTGTCCTAGAAGATGCCCAGAAAGGTAACAGGTACTCTCCCAGGGACCTGTGAGTAGTTTCATAAAAGAAGATGCAAATCCTAAAATTTTACTCACTAGTTTCAGAGCTTTTACTTGGAGCCAAAATTGATGGAACCACAAGAAACCAAGCAAATACCGAATTATACCTGGAGATCACAATATCCCTCTCTTAACATCCAATAGAACAAAGAAAAATGTAGTGAGGGTGTGAAGGACTCTAACAATACCTGATCAATGTTCATTTAAAATGTCAGCTATGGATTAGCCAACAACAGAACGTGCAAGTTGCATATCAAACATTTACAAAAACAGACCATGCTCTGGATCAGAAAAAAGTCTGAAATTATTAAAATAATAGGAAGTTTATTCTCTGGTAAAAATGGAATTAAACTAGAAGTCAGAGTGTGAGAGAGCATAAGAGAACATGAGTGGGGAGGGTCTGGAGGTCCAATAGATGGCTCAGTTGAGGGTATTTGCTGCTCTTACAGAAGACATGAGTTGTGTTCACAGCACCCATAAGACAGGTAGCTCACAATCATTTGTAACCCCAGCTCTAGGGAGATCTGATGCCCTCTTCTGGCATCCTTGGGCACTATACTCATGCACATACCTCCACAAAGACATACTCATGTACACAATTAAAAATAAAATGTTTGAAAATATTTTTAAAACAGATATTGAAATTTCTCATAATGTTTGTGGACTAAATGCAACCAAATAACCCATGCTTCAGGGAAGAAATAAAAGAGGAAACTACACAGTCCTTTGTAGTGAACAAAATAAAACATAAAACATAATGTTTTGTAGAATGAAGCTGAAGCAGTATTTAGGGGAATAACAGAACTAAGCATCTACGTTAGGAACGAAGGAAAGCAGCATTCTCCTTTGGACATCAGAAAATTGGTAGAAAATTAATAATAAGTAAGCGGGACTAGGGGGAGGAAACATACAATTCATGGAAGAAATCAGCAACCAAACCATGCACCCTGAGGAGACAAGCGGAGTTAATATACATCTGGCAGATTGGGAACAAGAAAAAAAAGACACAAGTCATTAGTACCACAAGTGGACAAGGAGACATCACTACAGCGCTACAGAGTTGAAATTCATAAGAGATTTTTTGTTGTTGTTGTTAAATGAAGCACCTTTGTCTCTATTGTTTGTTTGTTTTTGTTTTTTGCTTGCTTGCTTGTTTTTAAACAGGGTCTTACGAGGCCCAGCCTTTCTCCTCAAAATCCCGATGTGGCTGATAATTGCTTTGAACTCATGATCTTTCTGTCTTCACCTCCTGAGTGCTGCGATTACTGGGCCATCATACCTGGCTCTGACAAATTCTATGAAAGAAGCAAATGGTTAAAGCTTTTTCAAGAGTGAGTGTGGTGAACAGCCTTGCTTATTAAAGAAGTCTGAAACCCTGAGAAACCTCAGACTCAAACAGCTCCATGGGCAAGTTCTAGAAACAGTTTAGAAAGAACACCCAGTTCTGCAGAATGTAGCAGAGAAACATTTCACAATTCACTCTATGAAGCCAGCAAGCCAGTATCATTTGTGAAACTAGATGCAGTGGTATTTAGGGTCTTGTTATGCTTTCTGGGCATGTGTCCTCACTGTGTATTTCAAGTTGGTCTCCAGCTTGAAGGCATGCTCTTGCCTCAGATTTCCAAATGCTGGATCACAGGTGTGTGCTACTCTAACTGGCTAGGAAAAAGGTTTTAATAAAAATTGCCTGGATGTGGTGTCACACACCTTCAATCCTAACATGCAGGAGGCAGAGGCAGGTGAATCTCAGTGAGTTCAAGACCAGCCTTGTCAGCCTAATCAGTTCCAGGCCAGCTAGGGCTACATAGTGACAGCCTGTCTCAAATAAAATAAAATAATAAAGAAATAAAACAAAATAGAAGTATTTATCACTGAAGAGATGCCTCAGCAGTTAAAAGCACTGAAGACCTGGATTTGGTTCCTAGGATCCACTAGGTTGACTCACAGATACCTTTAATTCCAGTTTCAGGGTACCCCTTGCTCTCTTCTGACCACTGAAGGTACCAGGTATGCACAGAGTGCACATGTGTACATGCAGGCAAAACACTCACACACATACAAATAAAATAAGTCAATCTTTTAAACAAGGAGATTGTCTTAGGAATTGCAAGTATCAATATAGAGAAAGGATCAGAACATGACCACGGAGCCATCTATCTCAGGTATGCCAGGTGATTTCCATCTAAAATCGTCATTCAATGTAATCTCTCACATACTACACTAAAAAGGAAGACGGTCAACGGAAGAGATGCAGAAAGAACTTTAGAAGAGAATAAGGAAAAGCAACCCCTACTGTTTAGCAGTTAATTTTGTTTGGAGTAGTATTAGAACTACTGTCTGACACTGAACAAACAGACCAGTGTTGGTGGATGAAGGACAATGCTCCCAGGTTGTGGAGCAGGGTGCAAATGCCACTTATGTCACTTTTATTCAGGGCACTAAGAAAGGCCAAGCTCAGAGTAAGTAGAAAAAGAAACACAATGTATCCCAACTGAAAAATAACAAGCACAATTATCTTCGTTCACAGACAAAACATAAGTGGGGAAACCTACAAAATTGTTATTAGGATTCGTGAGTTTAACCAATTCCCAGAATTTATGAAAAGTAAAAAATGTTATTGTATTTCTGTAGCAGTAATATTCAGAAATTAAAGTTAAAGGTACAATTTATAATAACATCAAAATTACTCAGGAACTGGCTGATCAGGTAAAGGTGCTGCTTACTGCCAAATCTGATGTCCTGAGTTCAATCCCCAAGACCCACATGGTGGAAGAAAATTGACTCACAAGTTGTCCTTCAGTTACAGCCCCCAAAACACACAAATAAATAAATAAATACTTTTTTAAAAATTAAAAAGAATAAAAAGACACCCAGAGACAAAAAAGTGCAGAATTTTTATGCAGAAGGCATCATCAGCTCTTTATATCTAATAGCAAAATCAGCAGCTCAACTAAAATGGGCAAAAGATGTGGACAGAAAAGAACTGTGTATAGTGTTGCACACTTGTAATCCAAGCACTGGGGAGGTAGAGGCAGGGGGATCATGAGTTCAATGTCATTCTCTGCTGACTGTCCTTCAAACTGTGGGCAAACATTGCATTCAATGGCTTGGTCCAGCCTTATCCATCAAAGTCCAGATCTGAAATACAGTACTACATAATATATGTGCCCACTTCTCACCAGATGGACATACTTCCTCCTGTGTCTCTGGGAAGTCTCATAAGTGCCACCTTTCCCATAGCAGAGTCGCTCCTTTGCATTGACATGCAGGCTTCTGAGGCTAGTGGCCTCAACAAAGCCATGTCACAGGCTGAATCCTGTCTGCCCCAAATCTGTGTGCTGAAGTTCTGACCCCTAATACCTCAGAATGTAGCTGTATTTGGAGACAAGTTGTAGTGGTTTCAGTGAGAAATGTCTCCCATTGGCTCTGGCATTTAAACACCTGATGTCATATTGGCAGGTGTTTAGGAGGGTTTAGGAGATGTGGCCTTCCTGTAGGAAATAGTCTCTGGGGGTGAGGCTTTGAGATTTCAAAACATGGTGCCTTCTTGAATATTCCCCCCCCCTCTCTCTCCCTCTCCCTGTCTCTCTCTCTCTTTCTTTCAGTTCATGCCTCTTGGCCGACTTCTTCACCATCTGGCTCTTGTACATTGTTTGCATTGCAAAATGGCCAAGACAGTTTTCCAGGTCAATGACAGAGGCATAGTCAGCACTCAGAGGAGGGGTGTTACAGCGATTCTTTCCCTCAAGAGATGTAAATAACTGTCTACCCTGTTTTTATAGAATAGAAACGGCAAACTGAAGTATGACTCGACAAGAGTCCAGCTTGATGAACCTGTGTCCTCTTAGCTGCATAAATGGGTCCTCACTTCAGCTAATCTTTCACAGTCTGTATGTTCTAGTAACTTCAGAGACCACAACAGTAGAGCTGTGTAGAGCAGGCTGGGAGGTGCAGGAGAGAGTGACTGGGCATAGGTAAGGGTTCAATGACTCTCTCCACATGCTTCTTCTTTTGGGAATATCAGCAGTCAACACAATGCTGATCAGAATGTCCTTTCCACTGTCCTAGCC